CTGGTGCCCCCTGGGTTGGCTAAAAAAAAAGCCAATGGCAGGCAGTGACTTATCATTGATATTCCAGCTCTGTCCTGATAGAGTGGCACAACTCTGCTTGTCCTTCCCCCTTTTAAAGGGGAAAAGGATGAAACACAAAAGCAGACCGAGGGTGCAGTTGGGTCTTAATGAACTCCCAGGTCCCAGCTAATGTGGTGCAGATCAGGTGGGCAGCAATTACTGAGGTAAGCGTGCAAGCTCAGATCTCAGTTTAAAAAATGTAGGTGCTTTACCTCTGGGATACAGTAAGCTGAGAGTTCACATTTTCTTGGGAGTACAGTGCATGCACTGCATCTCAGCTGCTGTCTGTAGTGGGCCTCAAATCTTCCACTACTTACCACTTTAAAATCACTACTATTACTAAATGCTTGCCAGAGAAACAAAGCAAAGAAAAAAAGAATACTCTTTTTAAAATATGTATTTAAAGAAAAAATGAAAATTATTTAATTCTCACACCTATACCTGTAACTCAAAAAGCCTGATCCTGCTTTCCCTGTATACAGTAACTGTCTTGTGTGTGTGACCCCAGAGCCCCAGCTAATGTTAAAGGTTATTTCCAGTTAACAATTTTTTGTGTTTCTTAAGGTGCTAGAGTAATGTACAGCAGAGTTCTATGATAATATAGCAGTTATCACAATCACTTTATTTTCTGTTTTCAGCTCTTAGGCAATCATTACAGAAGCAAAACTTTTGTGAGTAAATAACTACTAAGGCAGAAAGAGAGAAAGTCAGTAAGAAGGATGGAGCCAATAGGGAAGAATATAGATTAAGTTGCTCAGAGAGGAAAGTATGACAGATATAACCACAGTTACATGCCAAAGATGGAGAATTTGAAAAACAGTTATTTTTGAGAAGATTTTTCTCTTCTGTGAATGTGTTCAGAATTATGCCTGTTAGCGTGGCTATTTGTTAACAGCAAGTTACAGCCCCCAAGTTCTGGGGCTGGTTCAGTGTATCTGTTCAATACACAGAACCCCTTAATGGAGTGCTTTTATTGGACTGTAAGCAATGCAGAGGAAGCTTATTATGTGCAGGACAATGTTCTTTAGCAGAACAGCATGCTCTGTACTTCTCCTGTTAAGAGAGTCCTTCAGTTCCAGGTATACTAAGCCTTTTTTTTGCTTTTAACTAGCATTCTTGTAATTAGTCTCCCACAGACAAAATCCCTTTCATATTTGTGAAATGTGGTTTATGGGTCTTTGGCTATTATTTATAAAAGGGGGAAAAAAATAAAAAAGTACCATTCTTTCCCAGTAACACTTTGGTCCTTGTGTTTGTGCTGTGTGAGTTCTGAGGTAGCTCACTGAAGTGTCTGAAATTGCAAAGGACCAAACATAGCAAAGATCAAGAGTTGAGTTTCTTGATATCATTGCTGTGATCTGTGCACATGTTGATTTCTCATTCATTTATATTTCAGTTGCATTTAGTACACTGGAATGCCGTTGTGTACCCAACATTTGAAGAAGCTGTAATGGAAGGTAACGGCTTGGCTGTTATTGGAGTGTTTTTAAAGGTAATTTCACATCGTATAATAAGCTGTAGTGATGCCTTTTTATTTTGTTAAAACAAATATAGGAGAAAATGCCTCTAGACTGTTGTTGTTTGCAAAAAATACTGATTAAGGTAGATATGTAAAATGTCAACCTAATGATTCTCTTAACTCCTACGTGTCTTCTGCAGCTAGGAGCACATCATGAAGGGCTGCAGACACTGGTTGATGCCTTGCCAGCAGTTAAACACAAAGTAAGTATTTTTAAGTGTCCCACCAGTTATCACTGGGCATAGCTAATGCAGTCATTCAGCGTAAAGAATACTTTGAGAAGGGCAAAACAGTAGTAAAGGCTTTCTTCCTTAAATGTCAGTAGGGGGCCTGATTGACACGTTGGATAAATTGTTGACTGTACTCTAGGTGGGGGGAAAGCTAATATTTAAGGAGGAATTATACACTTTAAGCTTTCCAAACTCTTGTGTTAAGAAATGAAGCTCTTCATATTGTGTCCCCTTGGAATGGCAGGCACATGTTTAATGCTGGCCCTCACTGACACTTCTCTGATGCCTGCCCTTCCGCTTCCATGAAAGCAGGTGCCATTGCATTAGTTTTCATATGTCATTTAACTGGAAAGAATTTGCTGTGCTGTGTAAAGTGGTAGTTTATTTCTTGTGAAATTAAGACTTTCTGATTTTTGTCTGGCGTTTGAGGAGATTATTGCTTACTTATTTTAGATGCTGTAAGTTTTCTGCAAGGGGAATGGCACTCTTTCTTCACATCTGAATTCTGATTTCTGCCAGGAGAGGGAGTGCTGCTTCTCTGCTAGTGCTTAGTAGCAGCTCGTGGTCCTCCAGGAGCCCGTTCATTTTGAAAGCATACACGAAAAATACCAAGAATTTTGCTGGCTTGTAAGAGCATCCAGTTGAAGTCGCTGTGCCATTATTTATCGCAGGAAGGATTTTTAAAAATCCAAATAGACCAAATATTTATGTCAGTGCAGTAAAATTCTGCCAGATAAATGCCAAACAAGTCAGTTCTGTGCCTAGACCTATAAAAGCCTGTGAATATACATCCATTTTGAGAATATAATATTTTACAGCATACGAATTTGAAAGAAACTAAAGCCACGGTCTTTAAAATAAAAATATAGTATCAAATATTAGGCTCTTCAAGCTGCATGTGGGCCTGCTCCAGAAGGGATCTCATTTCAAAGGGTCACCCAGCAACTCATCAGCACTTGGTTTAAAACGTATGAAAACCTTTGTTGTCTTGTTATTACCGACTTAAGCACCAAACAATGAGGAACATTACCCAGTTTAGGAGAAGGAAGGTCGGATAATACCTATTCTTATGTCCTCGCATCTTCTTCTCTCACATGCAGGGTGAAAGGTCCCATCTAAAATCTCTTGTCCAGTGCCCTATTGTTGAAAAATCCTGTACTGTAGTATTTTTCATTCTCAGTGGGGAACTGGTAAAGCCTGTCTAAGCAAACCCAGGATCTTCCTTTCCTGCATTGCATGTATCTCCTGGAAATACCTCAGGAGTAAAATGTTTAAGTAAGAAATCATGGGCTCTGAAGCTCCTACTGTGTGGTGTCTCATTTGTGGAGATGAATGTGGAGACATGAATACTTCATATGATTTAAATAAAACCTTAGTCGTTCTCTAGCTGCTTAAAATCATGTGGTGAAAAGTAAAAGCACTATTGTTTGCAGTCTATTAAGTGTATCTGGCAGAGTGACCTGAACTTATTCCATCATTTATTCTTTTATTCTTTTTCTTGTTTGTTTCTGGCTCCCACAAAGACACAGCCAGTTGCTCCGTCGCACTCCTTGTTCTTTTGCCCTGAATTCCTAATGGCTTGTGGGGACAACAGAAGTATTTAAATTTTGTCTATTCAGTAGTTGCCTCAAATGCTGCAAACCCAGCTTACTGATTTTGTACAAGTTTATGAGGTTTTACATTACTATGTTAGGTAGATCATTATTAATATTCACAATACCTAATTTTGCATATGCATACATAACACATACAGTATTTAATATTGTTGTTTGATCTTTTTTAATATTTTTTCCCCTCAAAATATGATTTTTAAAACTTTCTTTCTTTTATTGAATTAGGACACTGTTATTGAGTTTGATGTCTTTGATCCCTCCTGTTTGATTCCTTCATGCCCTGATTATTGGACCTACGCAGGCTCTTTGACTACTCCCCCACTTACTGAATCAGTCACATGGATTATTAAGAAGCAGCCCATAGAGGTTGATGAGAATCAGGTAAATCTTCATGCCTACATTTCAAATCATACCATATACCTGTTTGCCTCCCTGCTGTGGAGGGGAAGATGCACAGAAGCAGTTGCTTACCAGTACCAGTAATTCTCTGTGAATACAGAGATTGGTGTCTGCTTCATACACGGTATTTGGGGAGGAATCCTGACATTAACAACAGCTGATATTGAAAGCCTTAAGACCTCTCTAGTAAGCAGTTGAAGATGCTTCTCCAGCTCTCCAATAGGATTTTATCTTGATTAGTGATGAACTGACTTATGCTGGAAGCTGCCCCTTAAAAACTTCTAAGGTTATTTGTTGGAGCACTGTTTGCTCTCCTTACCAGGTTGCAGCTCTTTTTGTGGTAGGGAGGGAGAAGAAAGGGCATGTTTTGTGAAATTCCAAAGTCTGACCTTCTGTGCATGTTCTTGATAGCCATGTTTTGCATTTGCACAGCAATCTTGCAGAGACTGCAAGGGCTAATCTTCTGTTCTTCTCTTGTGTGATGTCTGAAGATACAGAGGTGATGGTGGGTGGCTCACATGCCATTCTGATGGCCAGAGTTCCCACTGGGTTTTCTCCTGTGCCTTTGTGGACATATTTTCAATATATTTGGCTATACCATCCTTGAATTCCTCTTTTTTTTTTTTTTTCCTTTTTCTTTTTAAATTCCCCTTTAAAAAGGACACACAAAGTTTTCAGCAATTGTTTGTATTACAGAAGTTATTTCAAGTCAGAAGTTTGTGTTCAATAGCCTGTCCTGAGACTAACCCTAACTTATCACAATAGGCCCTCTATTGCTTTTAATTTTAGTACTTCATGCTTCAATATGATGGTATTCCTTGGTATGAAGTAGAAGCAGGGACACATAGAAAATGGTCAGAAGGAGGACGCGTTGGAATTGTACCACAATTGTGGTTTTTGTTGGACGTTTTCAGGATTTTTTTCATCTATTCAAAGTCATGAAGTACTTAAGGGGCATTACAGCATAGAATAAGTCTTTGAGATTGTTGCAAAGCAAATGAAAATGAACAACCCAAAAATCTACCATTATTTCATGGTTTAAGAGGCACTGAGAATTGTCGGTGCATTGTCTCTATTTTTTGAGGCTTTGATTAGTAGTTGTGAGTCCAATGACATGAGGCAAAATATGGATTTATTGGGGTTTTTTTTGGTACAATTTTGTATGGAGTTAGTGATCTGGAAAGTCATGTTCCAAACAAAACTCTGAAGAATAGGCATGTATGTGATCTTAATATTTTAGTTTACATAAAGGAACACAATGGGACAAACTGAGGACTGTTAACAGAGCAGAGAACTGAATGCATAATGGAGCATTCTTATTTGCAATTGAAACTTTTTTTCCTTTCTTTTTTTTTTGTTTCATGATCCTTTTTCACCCTCATTCTTTTATGGCATAGAAAGGCTTATAGTTCACTTAACATTGTAATGCCCTTGTGAGCATTAAAACCTGACCTGCTGCATACATCATTTTAATCCCCAGTTAGAGACCACTGAGAATAACAGCTATGTAGATTGTTGCTTGTTGAGCTTCCAGCTTTTCTGGGTGCCAGCATATGCACGTCAGTATAAGCTAACAGAACTCCAGGAAAGGTGTAAATCAAGAAGGCTGGAGAGGTTTATTTAAAGACAGCGTATGTTCCATCTCTGGAAGTCAGTTCCATCTCGGATGTGCCACATTTGAGATTTAGTTTGCCTAAAGATGGCAGATGACTGACAGTTCATCTTCTGCACTGGTATGGCTGATGGTATAATCTTTACTGCAGGTGACAAAGAAGTGCCAGAGGTCTGTGCTAAAATTTCTCAGAACGCAAATGTAATAATACCTTTGATTTTGTTACCCAAGCATGAATGATCGTGTTTTGTCATGAACTCCAATAATTCCCCAGTTAGTAAAGTCACAAAACTGGACATTTCTCATTCTCAGCTGGAGGCATTTCGGATGCTGCTCTTTACTTCAGATGGTGAAGAAGAAAAGAGAATGGTAGACAACTTTCGCCCTCTTCAGCCATTAATGAACCGAACCGTCCGTTCATCCTTCCAAAGCAGGCATCTCTTGAATGCTGAAGTACAGCCCAAGGACCATGCTGAGCAGATGAGGTCATAGATGGCCCATGAAATGTCAGTCCAGAACTTCAGTACCTGGCTATAACAGACTTATTTTTTTTGTTATTTTTCCTTTTTCTTCAGTATATGTCACAACAGTTTCACAGCCAGTCAGATTCAGTTCTGCTAAGTGCCATTTGACTTTCAGTAGAGAAGCTCTGGAGTTTTTTAGTTTTGCTTTCTTTTTTTTAGGAGTAAATAATATTAACCTGCAACAAATTGACTTGCTTTAAAACAGGAATCAGTAAGGAAGTATTTTGACAGCTAAAGGAAGAATAAGGGCAGGAGATCTTTTCTGAATTGTTCTGCCTCTTTTCTGAATTGTTCTGTCTTTCTTCAAATGCTCTTTCAAGTGACTTGCACAAATTAGTAATCTCACCTGAAAACATGCTGTCAAGCAGGAAGTGTGAAAAAGTGAAAAGTATTAGTGTTGTGATCAGTGGCACAGTCTAGTTGGGAACCTGTAACTAGCTGTATCCCCCAAGGGTCAATACTGAGCCCAGTATTGTTCAACTTGCTCATCATTGACTTGGATGGAGGGATAGAGCGCCTACCATGGGGAGGAGTGGCTGATATCCCTGAGTGCTGTGCTGTCCTTCAGAAGGATCTAGTCAGGCTGGAGAGGTGGAGAAGAGGAACCTTTTGAAATTCAGCAACAGCAAGTGCAGAGCCCTGCACATGGGGAGAAATAACCCCAAGAACCAGTACTGGCTGGGGACTGACCTGCTGGAAAGCAGCTCTGAGGAGAGAGACCTGGGAATCCTGATGGACAAGTTATCCATGAGCCAGCAGCAGTGGCCAAGAATACAAATGGTGTTCCGGGGTGCATGAGGAAAAGCATTGCCAGCAGGTCGAGGGAGGTAGTCCTCCCTCTCTCCTGAGCCTTGGTGAGGCCTCACCTGGAGTACTGTGTCCAGTTTGGACTCATGGAGCAAGTCCAGTGAAGGGCTACGAGGATGATGAAGGGTCTGGAGCATCTCTTATATGAGGAAAGGCTGAAGGAGCTAGGTCTGTTCAGCCTGGAGAAGAGAAGGCTCTGGAGGATCTGAACAATGTATATACATATCTGGGGGGGGAGGTGTGTGTGTCAAGGCTCTTCTTGTGGTGCCAGGTGATAGGATGAGAGGCAGCTGACATAAACTAAACCATAGGAAGTTCCACCTGAACATGAGGGTGTGAGGGGGACTGAATATTGGAAGAGGTTGCCCAGAGAGGTTGTGGAGTCTCCTTCTCTGGAGATAGTTCAAGAGCCATCTGGACACAATCCTGAGCAATGTGCTTTGGGTAACCCTGCTTGAACAGGGAGGTTGGACTGGATGACCTCCGGTGGTCCCTTCCAACCTTACCCATGTTGTGATTCTGTGATTAATACTGATCAGGTCCTTTTGTGGAATTGTTTGAGGTTTGGGAAGAGAACTAGCTTCTCCAGTCATATATACAGAGACATTTTATTTTCTTCCTTTTTCCTTCATGCTTAGGATGCCAAGAGGAGAAGGGAAAAAATGACTTAAATAATCTATTTCCATTCTATTGACTTTGTGATCCATGTTTGATATGGTTGCCACAGAATGTTCACTCATAATGTTATTTATATCATAAGCCAGAAGACTTTTTTTCTCTAACTCTATAACAAATGTAGAAGCTTTTAGCTTTGGCAGCTTTTACTTTTTGGTATTACTAATGTACCAGAGCAGAAGAGAATTCACCAGTATCTCAAGAATGGCAAAAATGTCCAATTGATACCAGGAAATGGATCACATCAAAGGAAAGCAAAATTAAAGAACCCCCAGTGGACCCTTCCAATGGGATTTGGGGAAAAAAACAAAACAAAAACCCACAAAAATTTCTGCAACCTAATCCAGTGCTAGGAGAGCATGGACAAAATGTGGCATTTAGATACTTGAAAGGTTTGTTTTCAGTGACTCATGGAGCACCAGTGCACTCTTCAGTGTTTTGTCTTGACGTACTTCTATAAAAACATTTACCTAGCTTCAGGACAACTGGGGATCAAATTGTATTTATAGCACCTTACAGGAACGACGTTCTGTGGTGGTTGAAATTTATTTGGGGATCAGACAAAATTGTTGTGTAAGTTGCCAGCTGTGGCACCTTATCCTAGAGTTACGGTCCAATTGCCACAGGCATTATCTACCTCTCAAGCTTACTACTATTAGCAGCCATATTTTTCTGTCAAGCATCTCTCTCACTGGCTTTTAATGTTTTACTGTATTTAACAGTGTGACTATGCATGAAGTTCATGTACTGAAGGTACGGTCAGATTTTCTGATGATGAGGAGGTATGCCTGTGATGTGATCCTGATCGATTGTGTTTGAGGAATCTTCTTGGAGAACAGCTCTTACTTGGTCTGCTTCTGCCAGTAAGCAAAGTCACTGCTGGCTTGTGTGATTCAGCACAACTGAAGCCAGGGCACCAGCTTGTCAATGCTAAATTCAGAAATTCAGAATCAATACTTTTCTAAGTCCAAGTGTTCAGTTTAAAAGCACTTTAATGCTTTTAGTTTGACCGTGATGATTTTAAGGCTTTTGAATATGCTTGTTTAACCAGTTAAGTGCCCAGTTTCTGCCTTTGCTGCTTTAATAGCTCTACCTCAGGCTGTTGTTAATGTTGCAACAGTTGTGCCTTTCTCCTTGGCAACTTGTAATGTGGCCAGTTAACTTTAGAGTAATTCTACATGCTAAATGTAAGAAAATCTCTCTTCTATCCCAATTTATATTTACGATGTAGTGTATCTTCAGTTTCATTACCCCTTGCAAGCCCTTACTGCTTAGTTGAACCTTACTGTCTTGGCTGAACTCTTGTCAAACTACACCATTCGTACCAAATGGTTGAATTACACAGTCTTTGGCATCATCAGACAGACACTTTTTACTATGTTCCTGGCCTGCAGAATCACATCAGTGATGGTTTTGTCAGAGAATGATAGGTTCCAAAATAATTTCGGAAGGGATATTTACAGCTCTGGCAATAGGAAGAGAATTCTTTTACTTTCTGCCTGAATGTACATGATCTAGACGTTGTTAAGTTTGAGGGTTTTATTTCAGAACTGTTCTTGCAAATGTTTTTCTGAGGAGGATCCTATAAAAAGATGGCAGTGATTCAGAGCTGGCATATATCTTGTCCGTCTGTGAGATTTTTGCTACTCATTATTAGCAGTTAGAAAAACTGTAGTGTAAAGACATCTTAATGTTGCTTTCACATTTAAGAATACAGGTCACTCAGCAGCCCTAAGCTAGCTGTAGGTAGCCTTCCTGCATCAATATCCTTGACATATATAAATGGGGCTTAAAAAGCTTCATGCAATTGCTTAAAATTTTTGTTGCCTTGGTAATTTCCAAAGTTTTTCTGTACCTTTTATCCACTGAGCTTGTTTCACTGGTTAATATCACTTTCTTTGCATACGCAGATACAAAATACATATTTTGTTCTTAGGGAACTGCTACAGCGTAAATGTTTAATGCTTCTTAATGCTGTAGTTTACTTATGTCCAACTGAGTTCTCAACAGTTAGGTTTGTTCCACTGAACCAGATTGTCTTCCTGGGTATGTAAGTCTTTTTAACATACTCACCACCATCCATCCATCCATCCGAGACGATGTTGAACAGTCTATTTTCAGTGATCGGTTTAAAATTCTCATAGAGATTTACTTTGTTAAAGTATTGTTGTGGATTTTTTTTTTTTTAGAGAATATGTGTATTATCCAGTCATACAGTTAATAAGCCGTACTCCATACATACTTCGGTAAAATCACATCCAATAACATAAAAGAAATCCATTTCAATTTCAGCACAAATATCTGAATACAGGGACAACTTAGAAAAAATTTACTGTGCTACAAAAATAAGCTTTACAGGGATTTTCTGTTACAATTATTTTGCTGGGTTTGGAATCTTGCATTTACATGTTAGTGTTTTAGCATCTCTGGTTAAGGTGGGCAGTATCTCAGTTGTAGAATGGATTCTTGTTGAAATTACCCATATGGAATTGAACAGAAAGGTGTTTTGTTTTTTTATTTTATTTTTTAACTTTTATGTTCATTTATACAATGACTCTATTTGCCTTGCAAGTTAACTTCAAGAATAATAATTATATGTGCCTGTACATGAGATGATGTAGAATTCTTTTGACTTACTCTCTCAGTTCCCTGGAGGGAACCTGATTTGGTTGTTGGACTGGAACTAATATTTGTAATGATTTTGAACAATTAAGTTAAACTCTATTTGAAAGGTGTCTGCGTAGGAATCTCCCACCTCTTTTTTAGATGGTACAATAGGAAAGGGTCAAAGCACATGTGCGTTTGTCCTTGCAAAGTAGTCACTTCTGTTACTTAATACTGTCTGGGAGACATTTCTGTGGCAAGAAGTGCTAGGAATTAAGGAATGTAACAGAGAGAATTTTGAGGACAACTTACTGAAAAGGGAGTAGAAGGCTTTTGAGTGTAGATATGACTCTTGGTCTGACTTCCAACTGCCTTTCTGTTCAATGTCATTCTTACTAGAAGTCTCATTCTTCATGACTTCTGATTAAACATTTGAATGTTAAATCCATGTTCCTACATTCCAGAATTTTCACACAGTGTAGGCCACCAGGTACACCTCACCGGGCTTTTGTCTCCTGTTATGAATGGCTTGCTTTGGTATTTTTACTGCAAGTCTGACAGGAGTGTGTCTTTTGGCTTTGAAAGCTATAGAAAAGAGAGATTGCTTTGATCTCATGAAAATATACTGGGGTTTAGAGTACTGGAATTTCACATGGCTTTTGAGGAAGAGTCCCTTTTTCTGCTCAACTTCATAGTTAATAGTATTCGCTTTAAAATGTCCATGCCTTATTTTTGAATGTCTTAACTTGTATTTCTCAGCACATCTTTGCTTTTTTCTTTGTGCGCCTTATTTTCGTGGCAGTTATTACATTGTGTATTTTAATGTATGTTACCTGCCTAATCATAATTTACTGAAATAATTGCCTTTGCAGATGACATATG